TCAATTCCAGTTAGTTGTAATGCCATTTTAGGAGTTTTAACCAGACTACAGTATGATGCATATTTCATTGGGATAATTTTGTCACATTTATTTTGGATATATATATCGTCCCATGTCTATTTTTCTATTACACAGCATGTGTTTTAATAAAGAGATCAGGTATGGATTTCTAACAGGGAAAAATACCACTAAAAACAATATATTACCCAATTTAACTTGAGTAGAGGGATATTTGGGGTTAAAATAAAGACAGCTAAAATAATAACTAAGTATAATCATTTAAAGCTGTTTTTATGATCATAGGGAGACGTTTTCAATAAGGCCTTTTCTATTCTCGTCCATGCGCTCTGTTAAATGTCAGCGAGGTCTGCCTGTCTGCCAGACTCCTCATAAAGCACCGCGAGCATTAAGGGCTTTGCCAGACGTTTGTTTGGACCGGTGTTGCACTCATTGTGGTCCCTCCAGTGACTCAGCAGACAGCCGGTTCCTTTAGTCCGCTCATGGTCTACGTCCGCGAGAAAACTCATTTGCATGTGTATTGACTGAGAAGAACACCAAGGAAATAAAAGCACTGCCTGGTGCTTTATGGGGACCCTAGCAAAAGCTTTCAGGAGGGGGACACAGGCCACAACAACAGCTTAACAGATATTTTACTTTCAATATAAATCTGGAGTGTGAATTCGGTCAGTCCACCAATTCGTTCCAATCAAAATCAGATGGGTTGCCATGACATTTTCTACAGATATTCATTGTTACCAGAAGATGAATGCTTATGACTTTGGCAATCCCCGGACTTCTCCTCTAGTTTCCACGGAGTATATTAGTTAACACATTCATGCACCCCTCAGGATGAACAATCATGACAATTTAATTTGTAATAGAGACACCATTTTAATCTGTCCAATATATTGGTTTATGGCAAAATACCTCTTGATGGAATTTGGTCATTTTTAGCAGAGATGTACGATTCAGTTGTTTTTAAGCTAAATCACCAATGTTGAGTTTACATTAAAGTGATGTCATATTTTAAAGGTAGGGTAGGTAAGAATGGAGAACCCAGCTCGAGTGCGCTAGAATTTGAAAGTACGCAGACGAAACAAATCTGCCCCTTCCTTCAGACTTCCTCACAGAGCCCCTCCTCCAACACACACGAACGCGCACATGACCAATGAGGGCACAAGATAAGTTTGTGCACGAGATGGAAGGCTGACGTTAAGAGCATTCCATGGAATATAACAACAAGTGTTTCTGAAGTGAATTACCTACCCTACCTTTAAGTAATAAGTCTTACTTGTTTATAACTTTTGAGAGAAATAAAGAAAGTACCGTAATTTTCGGACTATAAGGCGCACCTGACTATAAGCCGCAGCAGCGGCACACCACTCTCGGTTCCACTTTTACTTTTGCGCGCTACCTGTCTCACTCTTTTCCGGCCTCCAGCTTTTCCTGCTGGAACCCGCCGCTTAAAGGTGGGGGTCCGCGGACCGGCCATAGAGCCCATAGAGTTAAAGGTGTTGGCCGTTAGCTGTAAAAATGCATAGATTAGCCGCACCGTTATATAAGCCGCAGCGTCGAAAAATAGGGAAAAAGGCGCGGCATATAGTCCGAAAATTACGGTAATTGTCCTTCCCCCCCCCACAAAAATTTTTATTATGCGGTTGAAAAGCAATTTTTTTAGACCTAGGTTTTGTATGCATTGCCACTTCACCTACATGATATTTACCCATGATTGGCTTAAGATGGTCACATGTCATTGAGTGTGTTTGATACATGCCAGGTTTGTGTGTAAAATTGACTGCTGATAAAACAGTTGAATTTTTCAAATGAAGAGAGAGATCTCTACACAGACAGATTGACATTGATCCTGAACTACACACACATTTCACCCCTTTTCTGATGTTCAGTAATCACTTTGATGCAAAATATGCCAGATGTTGTCTTCACAAAGGAGTGCACAATTGTTTCTTCACTATGACAACCAAGTGATTCCAAACCATGTCTGGATCACAGGGGTGACATTTTCTCTCAGAGACAGGAAAAATGCATCCAGAGCTGGAAACATTCGCTGTCACCTAACTGCCATTATTTATTCAATGTCAAGCTCCCAGCAGACACAGTATAGATGTGAGAGAGTACGGGCGGGTTTTGAAAAAGGCATGCATGTCGTGATAAATGGAGCCATCCGAGACGTAGCTTCAAATGCTTTTAGGACTACTTCAAAGGGATTTGGTGCAGTCGAGCAGTGATGATAACATCTGTCTCAGCGGAGGCACATGACGTATTTTCAAGCTGTGTGGAGAACTGGGTGAGCTCTATCGAGTCAACCCATTGATCTGTGCCTATTGTGCTTCATGATGATGCGAGGTGTCAAAACAACCTTTAGCTCCAGAGACAACAGTCAGTTTTACACCATTCATTTTCTTTTTGACACATCTCTGAGTTTGTTGCACATTTGTGTTTGCTGCTGAAATTAACAAGCAACACAGAACCACAGATTCAGCTCCCCTTTGATCAAAACTAGGGTCAGGAATGTTACACTTTCGCTCAGGGCATTTTAACGAGTGATTCTACCAGCTATGCTTATCTTAATATGTCCCTTAGCTAAAATAAGCTGCACCTACAGTAGCTGCAGACCTTTATATTGTATAGATTGTTGCATAGCACTTCTGCATAGCTTATAAAAATATGCTTGAAATACTGTAGGTTTATACACAGATATTTAAGTGTTAAGGCATATTCAGAAATGTTATGGGCCTTTAAAGGAGGACGTGTTACAAAACAATTGTATTTAGGGAATCGTTTCACAAGTTTGGATATTAGCTTGTTTACTAAGAGTTTAACACAAACATAGATATTACCCCCGTTAATGAGCTAGAAGCAGGATAAAAGGGAGGTGTGTGGCGCAGTGGATTGTGCGTTGGTGTTGGGATCAGGGGGTCACAGGTTCAAACCCCACTGCAGTCAGCATGTCGTTGTGTCCCTGGGCAATACACTTCACCCCAAATTGCTCCTGTGGGGATTGTCCACAGTATTGAGTATGGATAAAAGCATAACATGTAATGTAATAAAAGATAGCCTAGCTCACACCAAAGTAGAAAATAAACAAGCACCTCTTAACTTCATTAGTTGTGATATCATGTGTTGTTTCATATTTTTAATCCATACAAAAGAAGAAAGGTAATTTTAAAAGTGTTGTTTTTCGCGGAGGTAACATAGCTACCCGGCCTTGTGCCAACAGCAGTGTACTTATAGCAAGCTAGTTATAAAGCCACACAGACATCAATTTGTTAAGTCATTTCGCGCTTCTGATTATATGACTTAGGCCAGGGGTGTCAAACTCAATTTAATCGGCATTAGGGCTGCACTCAAAGGGCCGGTTGTAACTTTAAGACTATATAAAAAATAAATAATGTATTCTATTACATTATTGCCTCTGCATTGGATTATTATCAGATCGGGTAATAACTTCATAATTAACTGCGTCTGAAAGCAGAAGTCTGGGGCAAATAATTGCAAGTCTCTTCAGTGAGAATGTCACACAACGATTCAAAAAGAAAAGCCAGATTCTGGGAAAAAAGTCCAAATTAAAAAAAAGGAAGTGACATTTTAAAATAAAGTAACATTTTGAAAGAAAAGTAACACTTAAAAAAAAGAGTCAAATTCTGAGAAAAGGGCACATTCTAATAAAAAAGGCATATTTAGAAGAAAAAAGTCAAATTCTGAGAAAAAAGTGTAATTTGAGATGCATTGTGGGACATGTAGTTTATGGGCAACGTGCTTCTGTAAATCATCATGTAACCGTATAATAAACATGTAATATTCTTTGCAAGCTCTTGTGGGGCCACAGAAAATGAAGTCACGGGCCGGATTTGGCCCCCGGGCCTTGAGTTTGACACCCCGGACTTAGGCCATTACCCATCAGCAAAGTATCATTTAGTTACACCAAAGGCTAATGAGCTATCAAACGCAGGGCTGGTGTATGAATTAAGAAGTAGACAGGAGGTGTAACATTTTAGGTTTATGCCAAGGACAGACATGAACACACACACACACACACACACACACACACACACACACACACACACACACACACACACACACACACACATTACTAATA